ATGGATTAACGTACGCCCGGCGTTAGATACGCCTGGCGTAGCTTACAGGTCTGAACGTAGCCATAATAAGAATACTAGAGCGCTAACAGCAATGTATTCGATGTTCGAAATACGCAGAGCTGTGTGTGTGTACCATCCAAGATGGCTCCATAGATTCAGCCAATCAAATTTGCCCTGAGCACTATCATTTTCAATTGCGCCCTCAATTTACACAGAAAGTTCAGTACAGCTAGTTACGCGTATTTTGAAACTCGAGCGTTGCGGTGTATGGGTGTAATGTACACGATTTTAATTCTTTTTAAGATTTTAATAAGATGTTCTACTTGGCCTATTTTTGGCTACAACAGTTTAATAATTTGTCATTATCAATACTAATTATCATTAATGAAATAATATTTAGTCAGAGGGCTTATTTATGGTAATAATATAATATACTAAGCCTGAAGGTGGCGCTCTCCTACGGCAGCCATCTTGGATGGTACACATACACAACTCTGCATTGCTCCGCCATCTTGTCAGCACTCTAGTTGTTTAATAGCTCTATGAGTTCTCCACACAAAAAAAGTGTTCCACCGTGTTCCACCGAAATGCATGGTGGGAATACGAAAAATGGGACGCCCTTCTGTTGCTAAGTATATCTAAAAAAACTTGTGCCAAACTTTCGTTACCAAGTCGTCGCGTATTTTATCATCAATTCTCAACAAGGATACTAGATATAAAAACAAACTGGAATAGACACCCAGACAGTGACATCGGTGAATATATAACCTCCTTGGTGGCGGTAGAAATCGTTGCTATTATCCAAATAATAGACAAAACAAATAAAGCATAATCATGAATCAGTAAAGAATAAAACAACAATACAGCGCAGAATCGCATGGCCGGACGCACTCTTAGTGAAAAAGTTTTCCTCCATTAGTGGAAAAGGAAGGGCGCCTTTTGCGTCTGGATATACTTAGCAACAGAAGGGCGCCCTGTACGTTGGGCACGAAGTATAGGAAACTTGCATGGTTAAAAAGAAGGGCGCCGCCTACGTTGGGCACGACTTCCGCCTCATTTTTACAATGCGAGAACTCTATCTTAAAACCGAAAGGTCCACTGATTAATCTCAGATAAGAAAGTATAATACATACTCCAAGTATTGAAATACACGCCATCGTGTTGGGATTCAATATTTCGACATTAATTATGTCATCATCAGGAATAATGAACTTTATCTTGTATTTCTAGTATCTTTGAAACAAACGGAAAAGAACATTCATCATCATCATCTGATCATCATTCAGAACAAACAACAGAAACACAGACAACGATGCACTCATGATTATGTTCATCCGATCATATTGTACATTTACACGTACTTCCAGGTAAGACATTTGTTTTAGTTTGTTTTCTAAACGTTAATTATTCTTTATTTCATATAAAGAGATTTTGGAAATCACTTAAGGTCCGATTCGATTTCGAATTATGAAAAGTGTAGGCTGTGGCCCCGAGACCTCTGACGATTAGTGCCCAAAATTGTTTACAAAAACGTAATGCAATAATAGCATATTGACTACTATTGTATATTTTCGGAAAATATTTCAGCCGCTCCAAATCTCTTTCCTATTCTTCCTTCTATATAAATCCAGAATTATTATTATTATTCTTCCTTTATTCTTTCACAATTTTGCATTTTTTTCTTCATATTTTTCATAGTTTTATACACTCACATATTCATTTGTTTTAATAGGTCTAGTCTAGGCTAGACCTCGGCTATCAGTGCCTATTACTAGCCTATATTATTTAAATATACAATTTTAATAGATAACATGGACATAGTAATTCATACTTAAACAATACATTAAATTTATATATTAATAATGATAACGTTAACGAATAAATAACAATAACTAAACCGTGTACATAGTGTATCACTACTGCAATAATAAGATTAACATTTTCAATCTTATAATAAATTTTATACAGCCGGTGTTATGTATTGACCTAGGTACTATGGCTAATGACAGGTACGCTTTCACCATTAAATGCTTTTCCCATGAATGGAATGACCTGTACGAAACACGAGCTCCTGTAGACCAAACCCAGTACCGTTACGATTTTAATCGTACGGGAAATATCCTCAAGAGGCAATAGGCCTACAGTTGTCTTTTATATTGTATATTAAACCAAAAGAATTAAAGGGAAATTTACGTATGTGTGAGTGTTTCCTCAGCATTCTGCAAACATATTCAGACTGCTGCTAAATTTGTCCTCTTTTCTCCCCGCGACATTCTGCGCCACCGCCGCAGTGGCGGATCTAGAGGGTGAATAGGGTGGCTAACCACCCCCCCCCCCTCCTTCTGTGACTGTAAACAAAACGGTCACTCGTCTTGTGTGTCCTTCTCAAGTGTACATGTATACTCTCGTAAAACATACACTTCCTATTTTAAGTCTTAACTTCTTTTCATATGTCCTCCAAGAGCGTGTAGACGTCTACTAATTCCAAAACATCACAAATGGAAGCGGACGCCCCCTCCAAAAATCCATGATCAAGAGGGACAGGGGATACGTACCCAAATAATAAGGGAAAGTGGGGGAGGGGTGGTCCCCTCACTTTTCGTCCGCAATGAAATGAACTGCATTGATGACTTGTACAGCCCGTACTACTACTACCACCACCACTACTACCACCACTACTACCACCACTACTACCACCACTACTACCACCACTACTACCACCACTACTACCACCACTACTACCACCACTACTACCACCACTACTACCACCACTACTACCACCACTACTACCACCACTACTACCACCACTACTACCACCACTACTACCACCACTACTACCACCACTACTACCACCACTACTACCACCACTACTACCACCACTACTACCACCACTACTACCACCACTACTACCACCACTACTACCACCACTACTACCACCACTACTACCACCACTACTACCACCACTACTACCACCACTACTACCACCACTACTACCACCACTACTACCACCACTACTACCACCACTACTACCACCACTACTACCACCACTACTACCACCACTACTACCACCACTACTACCACCACTACTACCACCACTACTACCACCACTACTACCACCACTACTACCACCACTACTACCACCACTACTACCACCACTACTACCACCACTACTACCACCACTACTACCACCACTACTACCACCACTACTACCACCACTACTACCACCACTACTACCACCACTACTACCACCACTACTACCACCACTACTACCACCACTACTACCACCACTACTACCACCACTACTACCACCACTACTACCACCACTACTACCACCACTACTACCACCACTACTACCACCACTACTACCACCACTACTACCACCACTACTACCACCACTACTACCACCACTACTACCACCACTACTACCACCACTACTACCACCACTACTACCACCACTACTACCACCACTACTACCACCACTACTACCACCACTACTACCACCACTACTACCACCACTACTACCACCACTACTACCACCACTACTACCACCACTACTACCACCACTACTACCACCACTACTACCACCACTACTACCACCACTACTACCACCACTACTACCACCACTACTACCACCACTACTACCACCACTACTACCACCACTACTACCACCACTACTACCACCACTACTACCACCACTACTACCACCACTACTACCACCACTACTACCACCACTACTACCACCACTACTACCACCACTACTACCACCACTACTACCACCACTACTACCACCACTACTACCACCACTACTACCACCACTACTACCACCACTACTACCACCACTACTACCACCACTACTACCACCACTACTACCACCACTACTACCACCACTACTACCACCACTACTACCACCACTACTACCACCACTACTACCACCACTACTACCACATCTGTTCACAATATATGAAATGTATTCGTTACACGTTCCCGCATGTCCATGCCTCCTTTTATGGTTTATTATATTTGCTTGTTTAATCATGGAGGAATTAGTTTAAAATTAGTTTAAGATTAATTCCTCTATGGCTTAATAAAGCAAGTGTTGATGTTTGTTTGTTTGTTTGTTTGGTTTTTTTTTTCTTAATATTAGAGAATTTCATATACATACCACTCGAAAATAATTTTGTTCGGGAAAGACGTACACCCTTAAGCAACAATCGGATGTTTTATTCCCGAAAACAACACCATCATTATTGTTTATAATTAAAATCTACATAAATATATTGAAAACTATGTTAATTTGAACTTTAAGCAAAACTGAAATGTAGTGAGAGCCAAGACAACTTTTAGTACACCCACTGATGTAAATATGCCTACACGATATAAGGAAAGAAAGGATCGAGACTTAAACCAATATTGAGTGGTTTACGTGTTCATCGCACACTATTGTTAATTACAATTAGGCCTATGTATATCGAATCCTATAATATGACCTGTTATGCATCTTGATGAGTTTTGTTGTACATTATCCTGAAATATCAAATTATAAGTGGGGTGGGTACGGAATCTTAATGGCCAAACACTTGTGAGCAAGTATACACAGAGTAAAAGACATGTGTTCATACAGTGTTCTGACTACCATATGATTGACTGTATATAATACCAGTGTGTCAATATCGCCCTAGACAACATTGTGTGAACACATGTTGTACACTCAGTGGAATTATTCTAAAGGGATATCGATAATACGACAGAAATTTTGCAAACTCATTTCGTTCCATGGTTTTTGGCAAGGGTTGATGCGAATACTCAGAGGGATCACTGCAAAATGATTTATCTGTATTTAATTGTTTATGACATAATGCCACATAGCTCAGTTGGTATACAATAATGAAATAATAAACTTTACATTTTATTGTAGAAAAACGGAAAGTTACATCGACGACTGTCTTTTTGAGCCAAATAATTACTGAAAATGGAAAGGAAAACGTAAGTGATGTAGTTCCTGCATTTCATTTGACGTTGGTCTTTAATCATTTAATACTAATTTACAAAAGCATATTTGTGGACATTATAGTTTTAGTATATGCTTAGGATATATCAAATTAAACAAATATTTAAAAAAATGGTTTAAAAGCATATTGTGAAGGAATGAGAGATAGTTATTGGCAAACACATATACCTGCATGAACAATAATATAGAAACATAGTGATCATGATGGGGGATGTGTGTATATAATGTGTGTATAATGATGAAGCATACTATGAAGCATAGTGACAGAGGAAGATCAGGGGTTTATCCAGGATTATTTCTGGGTGGGTTGTGATCATAATTTTTTTTAACCTTTTCACAATGAAATAACAGCAAGATGTTATTAAAATGTCAATACAATTTAATAATAATAATAATAATAATAATAATAATAATAATAATAATAATAATAATAATAATAATAATAAATTAATAATAACAACAACAACAACAAATATGTATAGCGCCAAATTAAAAATAATAGAAATTGCTGCCTATGAGCTGTTTAAAGCCTCCTTTAATAAAATGCAAAAAATTCGTATGAATTGGCCTACCATTAGAACAACTGTTGTGACTAACGATATTGGCAAAGTTACACCTAATCCTAGTCCTTATCTGAGAATGCAACGCCATTGAGGATAATCTGTTGCTGGTGGGAGACAAAAAAAATCGATTAAAGCGCCACCACCTTGAAGCGGATGGCAGGCTCAGTTAATTGCGGTTTATATTGATGGAATTGAAATAGATTACACGTCACGCAATTGGCAAGGTCTTTCGACTCATTGCTGGTACATCATCAATGATTTTTATATTTTTGCTAGAAAGTAATATCTTTGGAAAAAATCTGGACTTTTGAACATTTTTGGGGGTCGTACGACCTTTCTGACCACCCCCCCC